TCGGGGACACACATGTGCCCAATCAAATGCTCAGACTCAGCTTCGAGTTTGAACAGTTACATCCTAGGTTTCGGCTCTTTTTGGGCTCTCATCTCCACCTAGGAGTTCACAACAGAGGGGGCAGAGGGGAAGGGAGGAGGCGGAGGGCAATTGGGAAGATGAGAGGGTAGTAGATGGGTTTGCACTGGGTTTGAGCGGCTGCTTAGGATGACGGAGTTGAGGAATGACGTCGATGAGTGGGATGGGAAGACCATCGTACAGAGATTCAGCGTCTCTTCTGGACATCTACACGTTGCTCCGTACTATCACTGAGCATCTACTGAGGCTATCTCAGGGAAATAACCAAGGAAGGTTGTTAAAATTCAGACGTACCAAGGAAACCTGTGCCCGCCGTAGCTGTGGCTTGCCTCTGTTGTTGCTATCGCTCCAGTGCCTTGTGCATCATGTCGCTGAAGTCTCGAGCAGCCCGGCTAACCTCAAACAAGGCTGCTGGCCCTTGCTAGCAGCCGCCAGCCGAGGAACGAGCCTCCGGCCAACGCATACGTACATGTCTGAACGAAAGACCAGCGCGCAGATGCATGAGTGCAAGCCCACAAGTTTTGCAAATGGCTGGTCTAGGGCCACCAGGAACAGATAGCACATGTTGCCATGTCGGATATCCCGTCGCCGCAGTTCGTCTCATCAACGGTCGTTAGCATTCAGGTACATCGGCAGATTGGCTGGGCAGGAACAGAGACTCGTCGCACACCGACGCAAGACGGCACGAAGCATGGGCTGGCAAGGGCTGGCAGCATGAGCATGGGATCAAAAGACGCTCGGATGGTGGGGCAGCTCGAGGGCAGATGCCAAGCATGACCCATCCCACTTCTTGCCCCCCCCCCCCCCCCCCCAGAATCAAAAGTCCAAAGTCCCATCAACGCTATCAAGGATACTGGCAAGACAACGCAGCAGCAAAACACAGAAAAAGAGAAGCCCAGCATGCAAAGCGCAAAGGGGTAAGATGCGCTTCTGCCAGGCGGAGCTCTCGTCCGTCCATCCGGCCTCTAGCTTCAGGCTGCCGGCCACCTCTGCCTGTATTCCGCCTTCCGCATTCTGACTCTTTTACAACTTGGTTTTTTCCCCAAGCAGGTAGGGGTTACTGGACGGCGATTTTTGCCAATCTGCAGCTTGCTAAACTCCAAGCCGATGCGAGACGGCACCTCTCTGCCTCTGCCTCTATCTCTGCCTTTATCTCTCTCCGTCATCGGGACTGGCAACGTACTACCATCGGGTGCCCTCGTGTTCAAGGTTCACCAAGCTTGCTTGGGTACCTCGCAGCATGACGTGCGTGGATAGTGAAGGGTGAGCAGGAAGAACCTGAGTGGCCAATGGCTGCCGTCTGGCGATCCTGCGAAACAATTACTCCCAGCAAGAAAACAGAACACATCAATAAATACAAATCATTGCTTCCCCAAACCCGGGGAAGAGGAAGGCCCTTGCATCGCCGGACGGCTGTTCAGCTTCGGCCCTTTTGCAGATGCTTCAACCGGTTCAGAGAGCGGCACCACACGCCTGTTGACACGCCTGTTCGGCCTGCGTGCCGTCTCTTGATGGTTTGAAGTTGGGCCACATGAAGCAGATTCACCTGGAATCCCAAGGCGCCAAGGCCGTTTTGCCACGGGCAAGAATTCAGACCGGCGATCACCGAGACCAGTTCGGATTTACAGAGAGACCAAAGCAGACGGTATGTCCCGTGCTATCACATCTTGACGACAAGCCGTGGCGCATCACGGCATCTCAGCATCACAGTATCACAGCACAGAGCATCACAGTACAGGGCATCACATCGCAGACAGCCCGCAGGGCGTCCAAGGAGGATACCCAACCCGCGCCTGCGCCCGGCACCGCAACGACACCTGTATGCTCCTGTTGATGGCATCGAGGAACTGTACTCGTAGACGACTTGGTGCCGGGCTACTCGCTTGCCGGCTCTCTCTCGCCCTCATGCCCAAACCGACCCACTGAAGAAGTGAAGATGGGAGCAAACTCCCGGCGACCGTCTGTGCGCACGTTGGACCGGTGAACTCGGACCCCCTCTGCTCGCCCCGGCTAAAGGAGTGGAGGGCCGGCACTCTGCTATAAACCTCGATACGGAAAGGCCAAAGGTGCCTCAACCCCTCCACACCCCTCCACGGAAGGCCTCTGAGACCAAACGCAACGCTGCTTCGAGAAGGACGCGGTGCAGAAGATGCGCGTGCTACCCGAACCCTTCTCCCCATCGGGGGCATAGATATGGTGGCCCTTTTCCCGCCGGCCCCCAAGCTGTTTGGACGAGCTTGGCGAGAGACCCTGCCTCTCCCAGGTCATCACACTGCAGTCTATCTACGCGGTGCCCAGCCAAACCGTGTGACGGCTAAGGTTCAATTTGCTAGCGGCTCAGACACCACACCCGATCTGATAAGAGCAGCCACACCCCCACCTCATATTAGGGCGCCTGCATGCCCGGGGTTGCCCGCCGGCGCGGCGGCAGTAATCCGATCCGGAAGGTCTGATGAATGGCGGCGCCCCCTTGGCCCTGAACGGCAGCCGTCCGGGAATCCGCGCCCCGGGGCCCTAGCCGTGCACCGCCTCTCGGGATGTCCCTCCCTCCTTCTCCCCTCACTTTTGTCACCCAACCCGCCGCCCTTGCCTAACCTAACCAAGAGCGACGGCCGGTTTCGATGCTTCCATGCTTCCATGCTTCCATGTGCCCAGCGGTCGGGTCTTCTAGAAGGAAATGTTTGACTGGGGATGGGGCGATCATGGTTTTGCCTCGCGTCGCATCAAGTACCAAGTCTGCAAACGTGCGCTGCGGCCATCGGCATAGCACTCACCTGCCAGGGAGGGGATGGAGGGGGGGGGGGGGCTGGACCACGTGCGGTTGTCGAGGCTCCCCACGCGTTCAAGTGGCTTGAGAAACACGACTTCGCCCAAAATACTGGCCACATCGACTCTCTGCAGTCGGTCCGTTCACGACACCCGTGAATTGGGACTTGTGGTGGGCATAGCGATGCCACCGGCGGCTCAAAGCGTTGACCGAGTGGTTTGTGCTCAGGGTGACAGTGACGGTGACAGGAATATCATGAGGTCGGGTGTTTGAGCTAGCAACAAGCCATCTCATCATCCTTCGGCCAGGTGCCGGCGTCCAACGAGGAGTGGACTGTTAACCCCACGTGCAACGGTTTTGTTCCTTCAGGCCCAAAGTTGGTTGGTGGGACACGGTTTGGGGAGGAGGAAAACTGGAGGCAACCCCCACGTGGGTTGTCTGGGATAGGAAGGGGAGCTCTTGTCCTTGTAGCGACGGGAGGTTCAATACCTGAGCTGAGTTTGTTTTTTTGCGCTGCGTTGCTGCATTGGGATCGATGGGGGGAGGGGCTTGACCGCTTCCATACTCCCTCCTCGGAACTCGGAGAAGCATCACCGCCGTTTATCAGCCAGCGGATGGGATCGCGGCACTTTTGATGCCTCTTCTCCTTTGCTCCCGTTCCATTTGCTGCGAGTGAGTCCGTGAGGATGGAAGGAAGGACGTGTGGTGTCGTGGTGTAGGGATCCGGCGCCATCTGGTGATCCGTGATGGTTGGTGGCCTGCCGCGTCCTAGATGGCGATTGATGCGAGCCTGGGGATGTGTGGAGGAGTGGGGATCACGGACCACGCACCCGGGGCCTTTGCGGGCTCTTTGTAAGGCGGTGCAGCGGGCTTGGGCGATGAGGAGCGTCAACGTGTCGGCGCGGCCGAGTTGGCGTGTTTCAGGATGACATTTATACGGACGGGCATGGGATGGAGGGCCTTGGTGTTGTGGCTGCACCTGTGGTGCTGGGAGGGAAGGGTGGTGGCGGCTTGGGGGGTGTAAGTTGTGGATGATTACGATACTTCATGCGTTTCGTTGTCGGCGGTGGTGGATGCCTGGTGACTGTGCGTGACGTGGTGACTGCCTCTTGCGTGCTGTCATCGAGGGGGGAATTCTATCGATTGGTTTTCTCCCCTGTTGTTGACTACGTGAGACGTGGTGATGAGGCATCAACATCTATCTCCCATGACGTGGCCATCTATCTCCCCAGCTCGCCACCCACACCAACTCCCCCATCCGCCACCGTTTTACATGCTCGGACGACGCAAGATCAACATCCCCTCTGATCCCCGATGGAGCGAGGATACGAGCAGCCCGGCCCTCACCTCGCTTACCATCTACCATTCTCATCACATCTCATCACATCTCACAAACCAGGTCACCTTCCCATCTCATCACATCTCACCAACCAAGCAACTTAACCAGGTACCCGATGAGCAGGTAAGGGGGTGGCGCCCCCATCCCCCCAAATTTTGTTTACATCGCGTCGGGGGGGAAAGGGTGGGCGACACACACATACACGATTCCTTCCTAGGGAAATCGCCACGGGAGACAGGAACACTAACCCCAAGAGAGAGACACACATCGGTTAGGTGTGGTGATCGTCGCTGCTGGCTGGCTTGCCCACGCGGCTGGTTGCTGGGCGGGGTGACGTGACGGTGGGATATGTAGGAGGCCGCTCGTATTGGGGCGTGGCAGAGGGAGGGCCGCTGCTGTGGGCCGCCTGTCGTGCATGCGAGTTTATACTTGGAATTGGGGGAGGATGGGGTTGAGTTGGGAAGTTGGATGGGTTGAGTAGGAGTAAGGTTGCGTGTATCGGCCGGTGGATTGTCGCCGTTGGACTATACCGATATCCAAGTACATTCTACGGAGCAGGTTGATGTCGTTTCCCTGAAATGCATGTGAGAAAATATGTATAAGCCGTGACAAAAACAAAAGAGTTGATAATCTTGAGCTTGGGATCTAACCAAACCAAGACGGCTTATTGAAGCCTACTAGGAGGGGGATGACCACGACCTATACCGGGAGCTCCCTTAGCAGACTCTACGGGAGTCTCGTAAACTCACTTAGCTAGTGTTCTAGGGAGCATAAGGGGTCTTCTACCTGTCGCTGCGTAACCCATCCCGCAGAAAATGGCAAGTCTTGGAATCGAACCAAGAGTCTTGTAGGACCAGGTACTAACCGTACGACCAATCCTAGATGTACTACCACTGTACTACATGCCATAATCTCTCCTTGTTGGGAAACTTGTCCGGTTGAAAAGTTTGTATAGGGATGGTAGCCATCAAGTTACACCCTTAGTTACAGCCCCTCCCGACCACACACCTCTCTTGACCCAAGTTACACTGCTAGCTATGACCTCGCTCACAAGACAACCACCTCATCAGACTCAACGTCAATTGCATATAGCAACCGTGGTTTCAACCCCCTAATCCCACCTAGACTCATCCTTCCAGACCCAAGCTCATCCTTCCCAAGCTCATCCTTCCAGACCCAAGTATACAGCCACCACACCGTTTTCCGACCGCTATCAACCTCGTTTTTAACGCTATACTACTCACACAAACAAAAACACAACCCACACCTCACCGATTAAGACTCAACAACCCTTCCACATACCGCCTCGTATCCACGCCAATCCCCTGCGCGAGTCGACTAGCCCCATCTGCCCATCCCCCGCCGGCCACACTCCCACCCGTGCCAGCGCCGACATACGATACCGCCCTAACGTTATCACTCGCCCTCCGAACTAAGAAAATCTCCTTGTCTACTATATACTCCTGCCCATGCCCAGACCCAGGGGGCACCGCCCCCCCCCGCTCCGCGTGGCGCGTCTCCTCGCCCCCCTCCGAAGACGACGACGACAGCCTCCGCCCGCGGACATCCCGGCCGCCGGGTGAGTCCCACTCGGACTGCGTCGGGCTCGGCTCGTCGCGCGACGGGTCCTGCTGCTGGTCCAGGATGCGATTCCACACGACCCACCAACCGCGGCTCGTCTTACACGTCGCCTCAAACTCGGCGAGGTTCTCGCGCGTGCTCATGAAGATGTTGAGGATCTGGTTGTGGGTGCTCAGCGCCTCGACGCGGCTCCATGCTGCTGCTGATGCTGCTGCTGATGCGCCGGCGGCAGCGGGGAGCGGGTCGGGGATGTTGGGGATGGTGGAGTGGACCGTCAGGAGGCGGGGGTCCCAGACGAGGTCGTAGATCTGGGCGGTGGCGTCGGGCCGTTCGGGGCGGTAGGCGGTTGAGGTGAGGAGGGGCTTGCGGATGGGGGTAAGTTGGGAGTGCAGGGAGCGGTAGAAGCCTTCCCATGCCAGCGAGTCAGTGCGTAGTTCGAAGAGGAAGATGAAGATGAAAGGCCGGGCAACGTAGACGATGACACGCAGCTTCTTGGTTTTGTTGCGGTCCTGGCTGTCGAAGCTTGTGTTGGCAGCCTCGGTGATGCGGCCTTCTGTGTCGACTCTCTGGCTCGTCAGCTCGGTGTCGTGGCTGCCGAGGTCCTTGGTGACTGTTGACTCCGAGCGGTTCAAGGCTTCGGCCTCCAGTTCTACTGATATCGTCCGGACAAGAATCCTCGAGTTGGGCGCGTCCTCAGCTTGGTCTGGCGAGCTTTGGTCGTCCTGCTCGCTGGTTTTCTCGACTTCGTCGACATCGCCCACCAACCCGACTAAGAAACGGCCTGAATCGGCATCTCTTGGTGGTTTCTGCGGGCCGCTAACCTCGCCGGAATTCCCAGCTGCTTCCCGAATCGGATCTGGCTCAGATGTCTGAGCGGCGCTAGTCAGGCTCCAAGAAGTCCCGTAGCCCAGCTTGAGATAGCTGAAGAGCTTGTCCATACCAGCCCCTGACGGATCCTCTTCGACCGGTTTAGGTCCCGCCGCCGAGTGAGACGAGCCCGCGCTGCTCGCCCCTCCCTGAGCCCCTCCCTGAGACCCCGCGGGTTCCGGCTCCTCCCTGATCGGCGCCGGCACGCTCAGAGCCGGCGCCTTCGCGGCCGTCGTCCTCCTAGAGCTCCGCCTCTTCTTCGACGGCGACCTCGTCGACGACGAGCTGTCAGCCACGCCATACGCGCCCTCGCCCCACGTAAACACATCCTCCATCCAGTACATGACCGCCCTCAGACTGTCCCGCGACAGCGCGCCCGTCCCCAGGAACATGGCCCCGTCCTCAGCCCCGGGCTCGTTCCCAGTCCCAAGCCACTTCGCCCCCTCGGCACCCCCCTCCCCAAACCGCCCGGCAACCACATCAACCATACCCTCCACCCGTCCCACCAACCCCTCGAGGACCTCCCTCTCCCCGCTCCCGCGCTCCTCCTCGCCAACCCCCATCCCGAGCTCCCCGCACGCGGCGATCCTGATGCCGCCAAACACTGCGCACGCGGGGTTCCCGTGCAGCAGCACGTTCCACGTGGACAGGAACATGTCCCAGTACCGGCCGAGCACGCCGACGAACCTGTCGCGCTGGGTGCGCACGAACAGGGCCGACAGCGAGGGGGCGTGGTGCAGCAGGAAGACGGCATGGGCGCGGAGGAGGTCCTGCAGCAGCAGCGTGGCGGGCTTGACCTCGCGGGACGAGTACTCGGCCTTTTCCTCCGAGGCGGCGGCCGCGGGGGACGTTGGGGTTGGGGGTGGGGCTGGGGCTGGGAGGCGGGTTAGGTCGATGGACTGGGGCTGTTTAGTATGGGATATTATCAACAGACAGGGGAAAGGGGAGGGGGGGAACGTACCGCGAGGATCCACCACCCGGGCTCGAGCTCGTGCAGCACGACGCGGGTGCGCTCCGTGTCGATCGTGTCGAGGGAGCGGCCGCTCGAGAAGGAACGGCTGAAGTTGACCATGCCCTGGGCGAGGCCGATCTGGCGCAGGCGCTCGTTGCGCTCGGCCGAGGAGAGGGCGTCGGTGGGGCGAGGGCCCCGCGAGCGGTGGCGGCGGCGGCGGGGGCCGGTTTGCGTCGTGACCGAGGCATAGTAGACAATCTGGTGGTCGAGGGTCTCGTCGGTGGTGCCCAGGCTGGGGTTGTAGATGGCCAGGAACCCGAGCTGGGCGGGCACGATGGCCGAGGGCGCTGTCGAGGCCATGACCGGGGTGCGTGGTGAAGAGATCAACAATACCTGGCAGCTCGCGAGCAGTGTCGTTGCGCCGCGTCACCCGTGTCACCCCAACTCCAGTGCGCACGACGATGTTGACTTTCGGTTGGCAGATGTCGCGGTCGAGGCATTGACTATTATTAGCGGTATACGCACCAATTTATCAGTGGATTATGCGCCATGGTATGAGCTCTGGGCTCTTTAGGGGAATAGTTAAGGTAAGGTCGGCAGGTGTAAGAGTGAAGTCGCGAGGCGGGAGTCTTAATCAGACCGTGCCATTGGCACTTCAGTGTCGTCATAGCGGCTTATCAGTGGGGATGGGTGGGACATGGTGGGGCGCCGTCACGCTGGGGAATCCCCTCATTTGATGCCCCATGCTTGTCATTCGCTCATTGATCAATTACAGCCTAACTACCTTACACATAGCCCAGCAGGACAGAAATACAGGTTACGGAGCTGCGCTTGACCAACCAGACCATGACCCCATCCGTGTTGAAACAACCCAATCGAGAGAAACCGTGGAAAGCTCCCCAAGTACTCCGAATTCACAGTGCCTCTCTCACCGACCTGGGAACCAGACCCCGAACTCCGTCTCCCACGAGACAAACATCCAGTGGTCGTCCCGAAAACGCCAATAAGCACATACCCATCCAAATGCCACCACCTTACATCCCCTGCCCATGATTAGGTAGTTCAGTCCTAGCCCATCTTCAACAGTAGACCACAGTGGCCCCGCGGTTTGCTGTTCGCCAAGTTGACGAGATACATCCTATATATACCTCCCAACTCGACCAAGTCAGAAAACCCGCTGTTGAAGCCAAGCCCGAATCTCCAAGAGTTATATGCTTCCAATAGAGTACAGAGACAAGACATAATCCGATTTAAATCGGATAGAAAACAGAAAAGAAGAAAAAAAAACCGTAGCAACGCGCATGAAGCATCTGAGAAACAAGACTTAATGTGTCTTTCATATACGTCGAGGTTTTCGTGTGGCTTGTAACGGCCTTCATATGTCGACCGCCGAGTCAAGGTATCGGGGATCAGACATCCTGCTCACACATTTACCGCAAAACAAGAGTGGCAGTGGCGTGGCGCTGATGCTTCGGGCGCAAAGCATACGGGACATGCCACGATAGCGGAATAGGAGAATCGTCGAGAATAGCAGGTCGGTGCTCCTAGACGTCAATGTCCATTCTCGACGCCATGTCCTCGCTCATGCCGAGCGCCGGGCTCTTAAACTGCTGCTCGTGGGTCGTCTCGTCATCGCTCTCGGGCTCAATATCCGGGTCGTACTCGTCTTCCTCATACGAATCGTCGTCGTCATCGTACTGGCAGCTGATGTCGCCATCGGCATCGCGGTTCCAAATGAGACCGTCGTCGGCGTCCATCTCGTCGTCGCCTGCCGCGACGCGGTCTACAAACCGGTCGCCCAGCCAGTAACGGGCTCGCTTACTCGCACCCTCGTCATCGTCCGCTTCATCCAGAGCGGAAGTGCTTCCCTTGGACAGCGCGCTCCGGCGGGACAGAAGAGCCCGGGGGCTGACCCGGGGGCTATGGCTCATGACGGGCACACCCCGCACATAGATGTAGCATACGCGCTTCAGCGTCTTGTTGAAGAAGAAATAGTGTAGCGCCCAGATTGCGCCCTCTTCCTCATCAAACGGATCGTCCTTGGGCTGGTATGAGAAGATAGTGCAGTCCTTGAGCGTCATTTCCTTATCAATCATAGCCCACATCCGAGGACCCCAGACCGATGCTATCGGGTTTCCGGGGGAGCCCCGCTGAACCGAGGTATCGAGGTAGTTCGTGTTCGGACGCACGCTGTGTAGGGTGCTGTCAATGTGGGTCATGACACGGCGGAGCATGCGCTCGCGCTTGAAGTCTGCCGGCCGCAAGAGCTGCGAGAAATCATAGTCGGGATGTGAGGCATTGAGCGTGGCGATCAAGTACGCAAAAGTGCGCCGGTTCGAAACCACTTCAAGGGAGCCAAACGGCGACGAGCGAGTCAAGTTGAGCATCGTCTCGCGCCGCGGTGGTGAGAGCGACGCGCCAAATTTGACAAGCGCGGCATGTTGGGATTCCAGCTCCTGCTGAATGTTCTTGTACAGCTTCTTATCCGAACCCGCAGCCTTGGTCGT